TTTATCTAGGGTAAATACTCTAATACTTGTCTTAAGTCAGTTTGTTCGTCTTTCTGCTTCTCTCCGAACGTGAGCACTCACAGGGTAAAATTTCCATTTTCTTGCTCTACTTTACGTTTCGAGGTGTGAAGGAGAATGAACTCCTTAAGCAAGCTATAAAGGCAGGCATCTATTTCCTCCCGGCTTTGCTGTGTGCCCCATTTATGAGCCAACAAAATATGTTTGGCCACGTGTTTACATAAACAAATAAATATGTCTATGGAATGGAAACACATCCACACTAAATGAATTGTGAACGTCTGTTTGAATAGACAAACTTGTGGGTGCATCTTTCTAGCTCTTGAGCCGAAAACAATAATCCGTGTCTAATTGTCACTACTTTGCAAGTTGGTATTTTAAAAATTAATGCCATCTTTCATATTTGTGAGTATATTTATCCAAAGAGCAAATTAAAATAAATATTGTTGTTACCTGATAAAAGGCTCTATGATGGTTTTATTATTTTTTTCCCCAAGACCATTTCGATGTTTTTCCCTTCCATCAAATTGGGTTCAGTTGAATTCCAAATAAAATTTGTTATATTCTGGTTTTATATATGGAATTATCCTTAAGTCTCTTAATTCTTATGTAGAAATCACTTTTCTCATTAGAAACCAAAATAGTAATAATATGAACTAAATTAAAATATTGCTTACGGTTAAACATTGTAGTCTTGATAAGTTTATTTATATGGTTTCCTTTATTTAAAAGAGCATTCTTGAAATAAGTGATGTATTTGTAGTAATCATGGTTAATTGTATAGAGAATGAATAATTTCCAACTGGTGGTTTTGATAACCAGTGATCAGCACCTCGAGCAGGTTTAGCACAGAGTAGGAGTTTAATAAATACCTGTTAAATGAATCTTTAGCATGTCATACAATATTTAGTGTTCCTGATAGCATGGAAACTTTCAGAAATAGAAAAATCAATGCAATTTGCTGAATTTGGAAATGGTTAGTCTTTTCACATTTTATCTTAATTTTTTTACCTCATTGCTAAAATATTGACATCAGTTCTCAAGCCACTAAATTTTATCTTAAAGAAGAAACCAATACAAAAGGAGAGAATCTTCCAGACACATTTGGAAACTCTCAAATGTTCCAAAGTTCTAAAAGTTCATGATTTCAAAAGCCAAGGATATTTAGATGAGTGGTGCTGATTTAATCTATGGTTCTTTTTCTTTCTTTTAATATTGCAGTTTCTAAAAAGGTCTCAAACAAAGAGAAATTCAAAAACTCTGAAATGTAGACTATGACAATAATTAAGAAAATGCAGAAAGGGCACTGGTAGATTTTTAAAAACTATTTTAATACAAGATTAATAGCAATTTTCTATCCAAATCAGAAATGAAAAATCTTAACCCAAGTAATACTCATTTGACAGTCACATAAAATTTTAGGTTTGATTGGTGCACACATTTGTCCTGCATATATATTATGCATATGCACACAGAGACCTCACTATTATCCATCGTCAGGTGTCTTCTCATGGAAGTACCTCATTACAAGGCAATGTCAAAGATTCGAGTAACTATTCGACTTTGAATGAGGTTCAAATAGCCCCAGGCTAGGCTGAGTCCCACGCCAGAGCAAACCGTGATGCAGCAAGGCTCCAGAATGCATACAAATCAATACTCTATTTGTATAACTTGGCCTGAAACGAAACACTGGCTAATGTCTCCACCAAGGAGAAACACGTTGCAAATGTATAAGTTATGGTCTCCTTTACTCTTCTCTTGGCAAAGCTAAACTGCTCCCCCACACTCCCCTCACATACCCTTTTTAAGTTAAAAGTCAGGTCTATTAGTGACTGTAAGTAAATAAAAATGAGTTTGTATTTCTGCAAGTTTTGGGTAAGTCAAAACTCACATTTGCTAACACTTCCACCTGTAATCAAACTACCTGATAATTAGCCTTGCGGAGAGAAGCCATAAAAGAGTCACAACTCAGGAATTTGCTAAGTTTCTATTCCTCCTTGGGGACTTTAGTTGGTGTTCAGTGTGTAGCCAAAACATGTATGTAATGGCTAAAGCATTAAAGTAGGCTAATGTCTGCAGCAGGGAATATAAATTAAATATCAGGGTTCTGTGTCCAATAATATTTTCAATGTGTTTGATTTACAGAATGTTACTTTTACAATTACTACTTAATAGTGTTTTTCAGTGTAGACAAAGTAGTATTTCCTATCCCTTACAATGGAAGTAGGTAATACCAGTTACTTCTCTGGGTAAATCACCGTAAGGGAGTCTGATTGCTAGTGGTAACGTTGTTCTATGATGGCGGTCATCAAAGTACCCACTTGATTTTCATTAAGGTGACAGAAGGCTGTCATGGTTATCCTTTGATACAGAACCATAAGCAGAGCTCTTATTCATGAATTTGCAATTCATTCTTCTCTGCTAAAGACTTTAGCCTCTGTTTAGCTTTTGTTATAACATATACAAAGTATAATATACACCAGTTACAGACGTGTATTTCTGTTAGAAAAATACATATTATAACTAAAGAACATGTAAAGAGAGGCACTTCAATAAAGCTAAGTGTTTGCGGTCATGAGCGTCACCCAACAATTTCTAGTGTCTGATTTCAGTGAGCCCATTCCTCCCTACTCCTAACAGAGGTTGTGATGTGATTAGAGAATTTAGGGGACATCAAAGCAAATGAGGGCAGATCGGGAGAAATAATGGAGCATCCTTTCATCCCCGATCGCTATGTTGAGACGAGAGAAATTAACGTGGCAGGGGGTGGGGGAGAGGAGGAATGCTGAAATACTTACTGAAATGGGATAACTAGATCAAACTAATTCCCTTAGGACAGAAAACAAGTCTCATGTTACATTGGTCTGAAAATCATACAACACAGTCGGATGATGATAAAAACTAGGAAGTGCGATTTGAATAATATTTTGACCACATCCATGCAGGGGATGAATGTTGTGGCATCATTAACTGATAGTCATTTCAGCTCTCTGCCTGGCTCGTATGGATCACTGTTATCTCACCAATATGAATAATATCGATCAACACCCTGTGAAGGTGTTGAAACAAATGAAGCAGGAGTTTATATATTATCTGTGTGTTTAGTGTATACGGAGCATGGGTTCACATTCATTAATATAATGTGTATTCATACACATGCACAAAGCCTTTTGGGGGTGAAAGCACAGAGGAAACAAGGCATTCTGATCTACTTCACAGAAGACAATGAGGAAATATTGAAAAAAGGAAAGACTTGGAGTTTAAAGCCATAAAAACAAGTTATTAGTCAAATATTCTGGAAAATCAAAATTGATTTAATTTGTATTGCACCTTAATTATTGGAGAAAAACAATACTGATTTCTGAACATACAATGAAATGGGCAACATAAATGATTGGTCCTTCATAGAGATGTTTTCTGTGTAATTGGTGATAGGAAGCCGAAGTTTGGCAGTGAAATGGATGGTTTTCTAGAAGTATGCAATGCTGAATTAGATTAGGTGTTAATTTCATAAAGATAATTAAATGAAAAGATGCCACAAAGTCTCACAGAATCCTACTTTTTATATTTCCCTAGACATAAAATAGCAATAGATGCTTCTAAATACTTTGCAGTTTTGCAAAAGTGCTCAAATATACTTAATACTATTGTGCCGCATGTGTTCTACTTAAATGTGAGGACTAAATCAATAACTAATTATAATTTTGATGAGAGCGAAGATCAAAAAATACCATTTACATGCCATTTCTGCCAATGGGTTAAATAAAATGTGACTGGCATACGGTGGTGTCTTGAAACATTATTTTTCCCAACCCCAGATCATCATCAAAACCAAGAAACACATGGAGAGCCAACTGTATGACTAAAGCCCCAGTTTGGTTTATTTTGCTTCTCTCTACCAGGGGGAGCATAGGGCCTGGCTTTGGTACACTTGGAGGATCAGTTAGGCTTGTGGCTCTAAAGTGGCCTCTTGAGTTAGGTCCTATGTCCAAGTCCAAGTGCCAAGCAGGAATCCTAGGCTGAAGGCGTACATGGAAGCAATGGTTTTGTGTGTATACACCATTCTACGGTTTCCGTCACCAGGACAGTCCTGCACGCCCATGGCTCCCCCCCGTGAGCCCGGTACCATCTGGAGCACCCAGGACAAAGCACGCTCATGCAAAAAAGGGTGTGCCCTGGCAAACTTTTAAGAAACGGACAATTAGATACGTAAAAAGTTCTCTTTCTTGATTCTTGGTGCTCACAGATCGTTGAGGAATCCCTTCTCTGAGCAGCACAAAACAAGAAGAGGTGGTTGACAAAACATTTTTGTTACAAAGGTGTGTCAACCCTGAGCTTGGAATTAAGAAGTTAAAATCTGTGATTTATATATATATAGAGATATAAAAATAGATGATCATACTAAGACTAAAAAAGTGAAAGAAATCTCCATGTCAATACTATATATATATATATATTTTTGTCTTGACGGTTTTTGTTGTGAGTTATTTTGTAAGAGAATGCCCTTGTGATGCAGAAACCAACTGACACAAAGCAAACCACTAAACATGAAAACTCACTTATGGATCTAATTGCTTATGAGTTCATTAAAAGAACTCTTATTTTGGGACGGTAATGAGCACAGGGGCAGAAACGTTGAATTAACGTCCAACCTGTGGCTAAAGCAAAAGACAATGAGGAAATTGTATCACTGAAGATTATTTTCAATTCAGACCCTTAAGGAGGATGAATTGATGGGAGTGTCCACTAGTTGCTGGAGATGAAGAGAAAAATCTGTGCCAATTGGATACAGGGGACAGACATTAAGAGAATTAAGGAAAATGGTGCCATCATTGAAATTGAAATTGGGCAAGGTGAGAGAGAGGTGCTGGGTCGTGGCAATTTTACTCTCATGTTAACAATGGAATTCTAAATTTAGTATCAGTACCCCCAAATCAGTTTGGTATTGTGTGGATAGAGTGCAAGACGATACCTCCAAGACAACACTGTATTTTCACCACGTTAAAAAAAAAATCTCAAACTTTCTCCCCGAAAGCATTTTGTAAACCCAATTTATCACAGAAAAGCTTATACGGGGAGTCGGCTGGCAATGCTGAACTTACAGTATTAAAGCTTTTTTATTTTTCTCTCTTATTGGCTCCTTTGTTGAAAGTGCGGTTGTCTTGGGGGTTTGGCCTGATTTTACAAGGAAAATTATTTTCTTCCTGCCTTTTTTTTTTTAAATGGGAAAAAAAAACACTCACAACGTGAGATTCCTTTACTTCTGCAGCATAAAAGCAAATGAAGGTAAGAAAATCTCCTGGTACGAAAGATTTGAGTTAAGAATTCTCTAGAATAAACAAGGTCCCCACAGAGAGCTGAAGGAAAGAGGAAGCAGTCCAGTGTGGCACCCAGTACTCTTTGGGCAAACAGAAAGGGAGGCAGAGTGCAGTACTGTCTCTTCTCATAGAAAACGGGTAAGTTTTTGTGGCATGGTCCATTGTCCAAGAGTGTAAGAAAAGAAGTGAGTTGGCCATTCAGATAGCTAAAATGCAGTTTCATCTGACCAAAAACCCAGGATTATCTGCACAGTCTCTGCAGTGCCAGGGCGACGCAGACCAGAGATCCTGAGAGCAGGGAGCGGCTGGGCTGGGCTGCTGAAGAGTCCACCTCTCTCCGGTCGGGGTCCACTGCGGGGGCCTCTGTGGTGACGAACTCAAACTCCGTGGGACACACATCATCCATGCACCCACTGCCGCTCCCCGAGCCGCTGGATTCATCGCCTGGCGTGGGCGGATTGAGAAAGAAAGTTAGACCAGGACTGGGAAGGAGTGGGGGCACCCACCAGATTTGGGTCTGGGGGTGGAAGGGGACGTTCCCCCTCCCAACCCCCGCAACGGGTTTGTTTTTAGCGGGCAGGCTTGTGATGGGCGGGCAGACCCGACCAAAATAGATGTCTGACACACAGTGCTAACTGACATCCAGTTACCCAACTGACGAAACGTATGACTCCTAGACCCGGTGAGGGGCCATCCCTACCGTGTTGGCATTCGAGAGGTATTTCATATTCTGGCTAATGTTTAAATTGCTTTAAGAAATTCTGTCCCTCGCTCCTTTTGTATCTTGGGGCCATTGTTCTCAGCAGATACTGTGCTTTGGTAAAGGATTTTGAAATGAGGTTTAAAGTAAACAAAGACGGCTAAGTAGGCAGCCTGAGGAACAGGCGCACATAGTTGTGAAAGGCACATATTATTATGCATTTTGACTACTTGATTCTACCTCTGTTCTCTAAGAGTGAGGATGAGCTCCATCTCAACCAACTTCTCCCTCTGACCCCGAGGTTGATGACTATGGACAGCTGCTTGTATTTGTCAGGACCATAACCCAAGAATGGTTTTTATACTTTCAATTTTTTAAAAAAAAATCCAACTAAGAATAGTATTTTGTGACGTATGAGTAGGGTATGTGTGAAATCTAAACCTCAGTGTCTATGGATGAGGTTATACTGGAACAAAACCACCCCCTTCGCTTCTGCATTGTCTCATTCTGCGTTCAAAGCTGAATGTATTTAATATCTGGCTCTTGACAGAAAATGTTTGCCATTCCTGCTTGAAAGCAACGCCCAGGTGCCCACCTCGTATGTCCTCTTAGCATGGCATCTTCCCACTTGCCTGCCATGCCTTCTGGACCTGCTCTAGTCCCACTTCTCACCGCTTGGTTCCTTCCTGTTTCACAAACCCTGTGTCTCAGACCTGGGTCCCAGTTCGGTCTCCATCAGTTTCTAGCTGTGTGAAAGTACTTATTGCCATTTGCAACTGTAGTATTAACTTGCTTGTTTTCTTGTGTCCCCTGTGAGAATGTACACTTGTGGAGGGTAGAGACTTTGTGTGGTGTATACCGTTCACTTCTGTCTCCCCACTACCTTTAACGGTCCCTGGCGTGCAGCAGGTGCACAAAAATTACTCGCTGAATAATTAAATGTGCCTTGGGAAGTTTCCTCAACTTCTGTCCCTTTCCTTATCTCAACAGATCCAGACAATAGCATTTACATGTAGAGTATGTGTGAAGCCATTCTGGTGAAATGTGTGAGGGCACCAAACGCAGCACTTGCAATGAGGCCTGATGGGAAAGCAAAGAACAAAAAACATGGTTCCTGCAGCAAAGAGGACCTAGATTTTAACCTGCCGTTTTTTTCTTTAAGTGAACGAGGGCAAGCCGGTGAGACTCACTGTGGCTCTGCCTGCTCAGCTGTAAAAATGAATATATTCCTATCTGTTTCACAGGATCGTTAGGGGGGTATAAATGAGATAATGTGCCTGGGACACCTGAGGAAACTGTAAACCTGGTAATGACATTTACTGTTTGCCCCACTTGCTCAAAGATTCATTCAATAAATTCCTCCCTGTTGGCCTAAAACAAGGATGAGCTTGTTGAGCTGCCCCTGGCATACCAGCGCCATCTTGGGCGCTAGATACTACATAAGTGCCGCCAAAGTAACGCAGGGACTCTTCTACGGTCCCCCTGAATAAGCAAGGCACAACTCAGCACGATTCTTTTTTTTTTTCTAATGGGACATCTAAATATCAGGTAAGATCACTTGAATACACTATACCAGGTTCTTAACATTTTCTCGGATTTATCTTTAGTGGCCTTTACAAGGGGGAAAATGCCCATTAATTAAATTCAGAGATACCAGAACTGCTAAGGGAATTGTTCTTAACACTGGTATTATGAACAAGAAATAATATAACCTTTGCAAAGATATTATTAAAGTGATTTAGAATATTAAAAGTGCGGTAAGCAAATAATGACAGGAGATCCAGCTGAGAAAAATAATGGCCCCATCTCTTTCTGAAAAGGAGTCAGAAATGCAGGAGTTTAAGGGGTGATTTTTTAAAATGTCAAAGGCAGGAAGGGTGATGATTGTTGTAAGATGTGATAATGCTTTATAGAACAGACACTATCCTAAAATGGAGGACCAAATATGGGGCTTGGGTTAGAGCTAAGTGATGCTCTTGACTGTTGTTAATTTTTATTTTCTTGTGAGGGGAAGTGGAGCGCGATCTCTCCACAAGGACATTCCCTAAGCTTTGCAGACTGACATGTACGTAACCTCTTTAGGTCAGAGAGGAGAGAGAAACAAGGCCAACCTCAACTAATTCTTGCATTATCTTGAATTATTTATTCCTATCGTCATTCTCCAGATAATAAAGCATTTCGTTAGACAGAGAGGATGACGATGCATTCAGAGGAGCGAAACTAAGGAACAAGCAGGGGAGAAGCATCAAAGGCTAACACCTCGTGGCGGGGGTCCTCTTCTGAAGAGGTAAAGAAGAGGTTTAGTGAAGAGGAGGAGAGATAATAGGAGGACTCTCAGAAATCTTACAGCAATAAAGTCTAGTGGGTTGGCAATTATCTTGCATTTAGAAAATTAATTTTTGAGTTGCTTAAAATGGAATAAAGCACTAAAAATTTTCTGCAGGGGACAACTCAGTAGGATGCTGGCTAAGACTTGGATGACTTAATGTCCTCCATCTGTAACTTGTTTCTTTCTATCTCATTAATTCAAGCACACAAGCATCATCTTTTGCTTCAGTGACCAAATTAGAGAATCACTGGTGACTGCACAGCTTATGTTCAAGAAATCTTTTCCCAAGAACTCTGGTTTAAGGATACATATCTTTAAAAAAAACCCAAAGCAATAAAATAACCCCCCAAATTTGTATAGTTACGCATCTTAAAACCACTTACACAAACCCCAAATTTAATTTAACGCTCACTTACTAGACTTTCCAATCACTGCTGATATTTTGGAATGGCTAATAAACTAGTCATGGGTCCTATTGCACCAGCATTTCATTATTTCTGTCAATATTTCAGAGACCAGTGTCTACAGTTCATACACGTGAGGGACTGGATAGAGGGAGAGCTAACGCAGTTGAACCCAGGGCACATGAGATATTATCTTAGCTCCTTCACAGATGGCCGCAAATGAACTTCCCAAAGACCCAACCTCACAGGCTGGAACGTTCCCCATTCTATAGAAGAGAAACTTGAGACTCAAGAAATAATTTGCTTAAGACCCCAGTCAGTAAGTGATAAAACCGGGATTTCAACCTAGCCTTGTCTGAGGAAGCTTCAGAACATTCTTCTTTTGGTGGTTGGAGAACGGGACAAGAGTTTGGGGCAGAGATGTAAATGATGATGGGGGAAGAACAAGATGAAAACATTACTTTGTTGCTTGATCATGAATGGATCACCTGGCAAATGAGACCCAATGTTAGCTTGGGAAGCATTGAATGTAATCCACTGAAACTATTCCTTAAGACCAGTTATGATTTTAGTGGAATCCTAAGCTTTGTGGATCAGAGTTTTTGGTCCAAAGGACTGTAAAGAGCTCTGCAGACCGGGCAAGCAGGACACAAGATTTAAAGGTACACATTGCTCTTGAAGAAAAAGTGGGGTATCATCTACAACCTGTTTCTCACTGTGGAGGTTATTGGTACCGATAAAGACTTCCTTACTCGTGTCCTGGAAGTTGACATCATTGCCATTGTATGCATTCTTTAGTTTGTTGGTCATCACACGGAGAGCCATGATCTGCTGCCTGATGAAAGTGTCGGGCCGTGTGATGTCCACGTCGACCTCCGGGTTGTTAATCTGGTTGGTCAGCCCATCATTCATGATTTCAGGCAAGTATCTGCGAGGCCGACAGGGAGAGAACAGATTTACGTGAGGCAGGAGGGGCCTGGGTACCAGACTGTGCTGTGCTGTCTCTGACAGTGGGCCAGGACATCTGCAACAACTGAGCTCGACTCCTGTGAAGAAAGACCAGAAAGTGAAAACAAGGGATAACTTTTCTCAGGGGGAGCTATGGCTAAAAAATGGTTTCAGGGTGGTTCTTAAAATGGTACTGAATTTGTAGGGAGGCTTGCCCACGAATGAATCTTCTCCTGGGGACTTACAGAAATTGTTTCTTAAAATTAACGACTTTCCTCCTCTATTCCAAATGGTAGATACTAAAGTCAAGGGCTGGCTAGCTTCCTCTGCCCTCTGGTTAATTTTGCTCAGAACTGAACTTGTAAATTACATATGCTCTTAGAGAATTCTCTTGTACGAGGATGCTCTCTCTCAACCGAGGACACCTTACCTCAGACTTTAATCAGAAGAACTTCTGGATATAAAAAACCTCCTTTGGCCATTGGAGGTGTGACCAGTTAGCACTGGAATGTTTGAAGTGTCCATTGGGGTTTTTGTTTGGTAACAGCATCTTGGATCTAATATTCAATATTGGGCAAAGCAGAAGGGTAAAATCTAATGGTTCTTTAATTCTTTTACTGGCAAATTTAGATTCATATTCCTTTAACTTGTACAAAAATTTTAAAACTGTCAGTCCTTCAAAGCCAACTGTCCAAGCTGCCTATGTGCATTTATACCAGTGGAGGCTACAGACCTCAGAAAAGTGTCTGGAGCCCCCTCTGACTCCTCATGCTCACGACCCACCCATTTACAGCCCTCCTTCTCTTTTTCTCCCAGAGCTCCCTGCACCTGCTTCTTCTACCTCATTTCCTGTGGCTCTCCCAGAGTGCAGATGGTACAACAGCCTCAAACCGACTTCCTTCCCTGCCTCTTCCTTTCTCGTGCATCCTGCACACATGATCTGACGAATCTTCATGAGCTATTGTTTTCATCAAATTACTCTTCTGTTGAAAAACTTTTGGTGATAGTAGTTGATGTCTACCAAGTACTTACTGTCAGGCACTGTGCTAAGGACTTCATGGGTATTTTAAAATTCAGCCCCCTTGCACATCTAAGAGGTGCATGCTATTTTATCTCCATTTTGCAAAAGAGAAAACTGAGGCTGAGTGAGGATGAGTAGTTATGCAAAGTTAATGGATGGCAAAACCATGATCTAAGCCAGGTAGGTCTAGTTTCAGAGTCCATGTGTCCAAATGGTGCACCATATTGCGTGGTTGATCACAAATGACAATTCACATTTTATAGCTCAGCTGTCAAGGCCCATTTTCATCCTGTCTCTACCTTCTTATGCTGCAACAATCCCTTCAAGGTGCCTTCCTTGCCTAACAGAATCTACAGCCTGTATACAGTTTATACTCACCTGTCCTGCAGGGCATTCCTTGCTTGCAATGCACTTTCCAATTTAAGTCCCAAATATCCTTAAAGACCCAAGTCAACATTTGCTTTCTCTTTAAGATATTTTCCAGCTTTTAGGGATCTACCCATCCTTTTGGAGGGCTGCCACATTCATCTGGGCATTTTATGCACTGCACAAAGTCACCCGCTGAGGGAGGGAGTTTGGCTGGAATCCAGCCTGAATTCTGTGCCCACAGAGCAATGCACCTGCAGGGCACCATTCACCGAAGGGACACATTTTTATTTTTTGTTCTTTTTGGGAATTGTTTTATTTTCGAAAATTTCAATGCATACCAAAGCAGAGACAACCATATAATGAACCCTCATGTACCCATCGGGTGCCTTTTTCTAATTCTTACAAAGGTTCTATATTTGTCTGTGTCCTGGTAAGAAACAGATGGCACACTCAAAGAGGTAATAAAGAGAGTTTGAAGGAGAGACAACTTATGAAGGTATGAACAGGGAAACCAGCGCTGGGTGGCAAGGAACCCCAAGACTGGCAATAGCAGGAGGGCCAGAGGGGAAGGGACTGTCACCAGTATGCCCAAGAACTGAAAACGCAGAGAGCAACCGAATGACACAGCAACTGCCAAACCGAGGCCTGTCAGGGAGAGAGCCGAGGGAATGATACCCTGACTTCTCTCGTCCCTCCTTCTGTCCTCCACGTGCTGCCTCCCTTTAGCTGAAGTCAACTGGAGGCCAGTGGGCAAGGGGACCCGGGTGATGCAGTTTGTAGAGATCCTCCTTCAGGGCGGAAACCCAGGTGGAGGGATGAAGAGTGGATCTCAAGGGGAATCGGGACATCTGGGACAGGAACCCGATAGGCTGGGGGCAGCGCTGCCTGATGGCTATATCATCATTCTTCTACTGCTTCTACTATTGTGGCTTGCAAGCTGAGAAAACTTCCATTCCTCTATTTTGTCCTTCCTATTTACATATCATTGTACAACATACTTATGCTTACAATTCTTCCCCTTCCTGCGGGTCATTTTCCAAATTCCGGAAACCAAAGGCTCTCTATCCATTAGTCTCGAAAAGAAGAAATGGAAACACACAGAGAGATTTTTATATTTCGGCCATTTTTCAGTTATTGAAATCTTATGCATGATGCATTTGTGTATGAATTGGTTTATCCATTTTAAGTCAGAGATCCTCTGAATGAGCTCCATGTCTTCATCTAGATCTTGAACAAAATCGACTTCACCACGTTCACCACATAATGAATAATAAAACACACAGAGTGCATTGCAAATTCTTTTCCATAAAGCTTCACAGTATTTGCTGCCCTAAAAAAAAAAGTCCTAATTGAAATTTTTAGAAGTCATAGAACCACCTCTCTTTAGTGTTGCAGCAAAGCATAATATGGCTGATATACTAATACATTCTGTTAGCTTCTGGACTTGACTTCTAAAATATGGCATTGGATTGACTATTACTGACATCAGTTACATGTGCTGGGCTCCACGGGCTCTACTTAATTACTAAAGCTCATTGGCATGAACAGTAGGAAGTGCAAGCTAGCCTTTGCTGACACGGGAGTTGAGGGTGGCTGAAAGGGGCCCGTCGGTTCTGGTGTTGCCCCTCAACATCTCGGACAATGTTCCTGCAGCTGTACCTATGCTGGGTCAGAGGAGGGCTTTGTTTCTTTCAGATGCTGTGCGCACTGCACGGCTAGCCGAGACTCATTTATCAGAAGCTGACTGCGATAGCTTACATGGGAATGCTACCCCTGGGAGTCTGAGCATCCAGGAACAATAAGAGACTGCCAAATCAACCCACCCTCTAACTGTGCCTACTGATGCTCAGCCGCTTACAATAAAAACAAGTAACAATGCACCCGTGTCCTCAAGAACCTTTTCTCCTTTTGGTGTATTCAGAGGGTAACTTTAGAGACAATGTGGAAACTTAAACCACAAGCACAGTTGAAAAAGAAAATGGCCATTTTGTCACTCCAGAGGTACATCCCGAGGCCAAATCTATGGATATCCAAAGTGCAACCTGAGGGATCTATAGAAGCCCAGGACTCATGTTTGGTCTCTTTGTATAATGCTCATGTCCTGAAGAAATGGATGCCTCTTTGAGCCCATACTATTCTTTATTAGATTTTGCACCAGCTTCTTGTCATGACAGCATTCTATTTTTGCACCATTACAGTTTGGGGAGACACGGAAAGGAAGCAGGATCTTGGTACAGATAAGCCAGCTTCCCAGGCTGGATGCACATTTATCCAGGGGCAGGGAGAACCCAGAAATTAGGACAGATTGGAAGGTTGAACAGGGTGTCATGGTTGGTCAATGCTTCACACTCAGCGTGGCAAGTGGGTGCCATCCATGAACAAGCAGGCATAGCTCGCCCATTCGGGTTACCTTCTATTCTACAAGAGCATGTATAGGAACTAGACCTTCAGTAGTTTTGCAGAATTATTTTTCTTCCCATCTGTTGTTAGGGGCTGAATATTTGTGTTCCCCTCAAGTTCACATGTTGAAAACCTAATGCCCAAGGTAATGGTTTCAGGAGGCGAGGTCTCTGGGAGGGGATCAGGTCATGAGGGCAGAGCTCATAAAAGAGGCCCCAGAGAGCTAGCTTAGCCCTTGCACCATGCAAGGACACAGCGAAAAATTGAAAAATCTGCAACCCAGAAGAGGGCTCTCACCGGACCGGCTGGCACACTGAACTTGGACTTCCAGCCTCCAGCAGTGTGGGCAATCAACTTCTGTTGTTTTTAAGCTACCCAGATGTGGCATTTTGTTACAGCAGCTTGAATGGACTAAGACCAACATCTAATTTCATATTGTGGACATAGGCTTCCTTCCTTACACCCACACGTTACAGCTGATCGGGGTGGAAGAGTTCCGTAGGGATTGGGGGGTGGGGGCACTTATATGTTCAACCTTGTGAGTGGCTGCAGGCTCTGTCGGCGCTCCCACTGGCAGAGGTGACACCCTCTGTCACCCTCTGTCACCTGACACCCCAGAAGGTCGTCCCCCCACCTCCCCCCCACCCCGGCCAGCCATCATGTCCGTCATGGCCACCACTCAAAATCACTCCTTTCAGTTGCTAGATGAACGTGCTTGCTAGGAGGACAGACATGTTGACCTATCTGTAGTCCATATTTCTTATCACCTCATTAATGCTGGTGGTTGCTTTGACAGAAGGATCTGCCCAGTGGGGGAAAGGGCCACCCAACTCTCACGATCTAATGGGATTTGAAAGCCAGTAAAAGTCTGAGAAGCGAGACACCTGTAAGGAAGGTTATCCTGCCGGTGCCCAGTGGGGTTGGTAGGAGTCCAAGTGGAAGCCGGGGCAGGAATGGGGAGAAATGGGGGCCCCAGGCCCCTGGCTTGGGTTTGTTTTAAGGTGACAGATGCTTCCTCCTACTGCTTCTGCCTCAAGGCACACTGAGCAGAGAGGCAAAAGCAGATTCAGTCCTGCTTGTTGCCACAAATGAGCTGCATTCAATACGTGTCTCTCCAGCGATTTCTAATTCTAAGCTACATACTCATTCCTTCCTGTGGGTTTAAGAGTTTTACTAATCTAAGTAGTAAG